ACCACAGAACTTGGTATACATTGTTAGCACCCTTTGCCAATTATCGGCATGACGGCTGCCTTATCAGCATATCCTGGGTACACTTACCAGGAGGGCTTACATTTTTAGAAGTTAACTACTGAAAACCTTGCAGAGTAAAAGTTAATTTCTGTGGATTTCTCTAGTGGGAATAAACAATAGAAAAATAATTCTAGGCATAGCCCAGGGGTTACCACACAGGCAAACAGCTGGTCATGTCAGTAAAAGCCAAGTGTGTTTGTACATGACTAGAGATACGCAGGGAATTGCAAAAGTTCATGAAAGGCATTGGGTTTCTGGGAAAAGGAGATCCCCAAAGATATAACATGTTTAACAATCCTACAAGCCTTGACTCCTCTGTAACAATGACACATGGAATCAGGTTGTTTCCAGAGTTATTGGCCAAAGCAAAGAACAAAGCATAAAAGTAGACTAGGCTTCCTTGGAAAAATGAACAAAGAACTGTGTAACACTAAAACATCTTCAGAGCTTGTATGCTGGAGAAAAAAAAAAAACAACAAGTTTAATATAAGAGTAGCAATTACTCTGAAATAGGCCTTATCATCCAACTAAAATCTTAAAACTGTGAAGTGCCTGCGCTAGTGGCTAGAAAAGGCCAACCATTAACAACAGAACTGTCATTTATACGTGCTAGGAAGGGAAAATCTGTTTTTGTTTTCTGGGACACATGGGCAGACCTCATGTTCAGGAGTGGTTGAACAACATATAGTGGAGTCCACAGGTTGGTGTGTGTGTGTGTGTGTGTGTGTGTGTGTGTGTGTGTGTGTGTGTGTGCGCGCGCGCGCGCGCGCGCACATGTGTGCATGCACCTGAGTACTTTTTATTTGGTTACACTTGATTGGCATTATTTTTCTGTTTGAGTGTTGTTTTATTTTGTTCTCTTGGTTTTGGGGGTATTGTTTTTTGTTTGTTTTGAGAAAAAAGCTATAGTTGGGTGGGTAGGGAGGGGGAGAAGATCTGGAATGATGTGGGAAGGGGAAGAATATGATCAAAATAAATTTAAATTAAAATGGTTTTTAATAATAAAAGTATAAAAAAGTAATTTTTATTAATTTTTTTCACAAAACAAACAAAAAACCAAACTGGCAACCATAGTTAGCAACTGGGGTTTGAATGAGAGTGGTGCAGAGAGGCTCATACATACTGTTTGGGAAGGACTAGGAGGTGAGGCTTTGTTGGGGGAGGTGTGTTATGGGGCTGGGCTTTGACGTTTCAAAGGCTTCCAGCCATCCCCAGTGCTCTCTGCCTCTGGCTTGCAGTCTGAGTTGTGAGCTCTCAGCTGTGCCTGCCACCGTGCCTTCACTCCACCATCATGGACTCTAATTCTCTGGAACCATAAGCTCAATTAAACACCTCTTTTTGATAAGTTGTCCTGGTTGTGGTGTTGTATCACAGCAACATCAGTGTGAACAAACTACATGATCCCAGAGTGTTTTCTTCAGAGGCACAATGGACCGGTGGTGCTTTCATGTGGCTCAGGTATCTTTCGCCTGCACCTCCTTGCATGCATCTCTCTGTCTACACTGACCACGTGCCTCCCTCGCTGCAAGGACATGTGGTTCTAGTCCCGAACTGTGATTCAGAACGTCCATCATCTGTGGTTAAAGGAATGCTCCTCAAAGGCCACAGAGCCCCTCGCAGTGCCATCTGGAGATCTGCTGTCTGAGTCCCCTGCTGTAAGTAGAAAACCTTGTCTCATGAGAACAACACGAACAGCTGTGCAGAGATGATGAGTTCAGTTTTGAAGAAAAGGGTGCAAACTTAAAAAAAAAAACTGTTTGGAGGAATAAAAATAATAAAATAAAAAACATGTAACATTGTGAAATGTAACTGGATGAGTTTGGGATTATAATTAACCCGTGCTTCTGAAAATATAGTCTAAATGTAAAAACAGCTGATTCTAGGCACTGCAGTTGTGGTAATACCTTCATATAGCTGATCACTATAGGAAAACACACATTCTTGTCAGAATTAATGAATGTATGCTAGATGAAGAGTTCAAGCAGTACTCCCTTGGGTTCTCATTTGAAAACATAGCAAAGAATTCACTAACAAAATTTCAAGTAAGTATGGCCTCCATGCTAATGCTGCTAGATGGCGGAAGGCAGCAAGGACACCATAGTTTGTCCGCGAGTGTAAGGACAGTCCGCCTGCTATACTCAGAACAATCAGGGATGAAGCAGGCAGCTTGAAAGATTATTTCCCAAGCCTTCACTACTGACCTAAAGGAGCATCCACTACCCAACAGGAGCCACACAAAGGACTGTAGAAATCTCCCAAGCAGAGGGTTGACTCCCCAAGTGCTGGGGTGCAGAGGTGAGCTTTCATTTTTCAATAATGTGTAGTATACATAATGGCCACTAGATGGCGATCAGACCACTCCACCAGAGTCTGTGAAAGGAGCTGGCATCCAGGACTTGAATAGGCCATCAAGAACTAGGTGTCTTTCCTCACTTCTGTAAGAGAGAGTTCCTAAGCTCCAGAATCAGGAGCAGCACCCTTCTGAGCACTGCTGAGGAAAGTGTTCACAAATGAGGTAGACTGAGTGTTGACTAGAAAGGGTTGACTAGAGGACAAGTATCAATTCCTATTACTGGCAGTGACTCCTGTAAATATTTGGCTGTACAATCTACTGGTGAATTACAACATGAATAGACAGTATTCCGCCTCGTTATTTACCAAGAGATTTGACCAAAATTTCAAACAATGACAGGCTATCTGGGTTATTCATTCTGGCCACTGGCATAAGGATACATACTCACAATTTGTTTTTTCTGAGTATCCAACTTACCATGCTTAATATCAACCATACAGACTGAGAAACAATAGAGCAAAAGGAACATGCTGACTAACATCTAGTTTTCCCAATAAAATACCTTTTAATTCGATTTATATTATTTTATTACTGTTTGCCTATTTCTGCTCTCTGAACTTTGAGCTAGGACAGAGTTGTACATTTCTGAGAAAATAGTGTGATTAGAGGAAGTTCAGATAATATTTTGGTTATTCTTGAGATAATTTTGATTATTTCTAGCTTCACTATTTAGCTTCAGTTGCCAGTGTCATTTACTTGATACAAGCTCAAGCATAAACGAAGCCAATAACTGTTGTGTAGCCATTACTTAACTAGGGAGCTAGAAAAGCAAAGATCTGCAATATATTCAGACAAGTGCCAGGAAGAGAAAAGTTACAGGATAAAAACACAAATAAAGAGGGGTTAAAGTTTTAAACAGCCAAGAACCATTAGTAAATGATAAGTAAACATTTTTCAAATTTCTTTCAGAAAAAGAACTAAGAGGCTTAATTTAGGTCACAAATATTTTCTTTCCCTTCCTCTCTCTCTCTCTGTTTTTTGTTTTTGTTTTACAAGACAGGGCTTCTCGGTATAGTCCTGGCTGTCCCGGGAACTTACTTTGTAGACCAGGCTGGCCTCAAACTCAGAGATCTGCCTGCCTCTGCCTCCCAAGTGCTGGGATTTAGGGTCTGCACTGTCACACCTGGCCCCCTTTTCTTTCTTATTTGAGACAGGGTCTTGCTAGGGAGCCTGGATTATCCTTGAACACTATCTGGTTCAATCTTGTCGGGATTTCACATCACCAGTGCCGAGGTGACCACGCATGCCCCACCATACCCAGCTAGACTCCACGTCTAGGGAAGTCTATAGGGAAAGCATGAGCTTTGATTTCCACGTTATATGAGAAATACAAAAGAAAACACATTTGAAGTTCAAACACAACAGTATTTACTGTTAGGCACCAGTGAAAGCAGAAGTGAAAGAAATTTAGTTCAAATAGAGTGCAAACTAACGTTTAGAGTAATTCTGAACAGAACCATAGGTCACGAGTTCCCTAAATATCGTTAAGCACAGCGGATGGACAGGGGTCACTCTGCTGCTACAGTAGAGCAACCAACTTACCAACATCTTTTTAGAGCAATGTACTTGCTTTAACTTAACTAAATTAATACATTTATGTCTCTTCAAAAGTGCTGGAAGTCACTAGCCGATTTTGGTTTGAGATTTTCAAGAGATTCCTGCAAGCTTTAAAAAAATCTATGGGAAAGGTATATTATATATTATTCATTTACAAATATACTTAAATTTCTTTTAAGAAAAAAATCACATAAAATAGTAATAACTAATAAATTACTGATAAAATAATAAGTGGTAATGCCTTACCTTGTTAATGTCTGTTTGCAGAGTGATGGGGCTGGTAGCAACCTACCCTTCTTCCAATTAATTTTGGAGCCTACCTTTCTTTTTGCTACATAACAATGATATTTGACAAGAAAAGATTTGCTCTGAAAACTGCAAGCTGATGGTGTTAATTTATACATAAATCAGTCTGCAGCCTGCCTTGTTCCTCTAGTGAGTCCTAGACAGCACCAAGCACAGACACTGACTGCTTCATCTCCTCAGCTGGGCTTCCCTGCGCTCAGAAGGGCTGTTTCTGTATCTCTCTCAGTCAGAGCTGCACCTGCTCATAGTGCCTGCTGGCTTTCCACTGTTGGCAAATAGGTGCCGGCACAAACTCCATGAGAGGCACATTTCACTGTCTTTCTCCCGTCCAGAGCTTTGGACCTTAAAGGGATATGTTGTACACAATAGCCCCAGGTTTTGTTTTTTTTTTTTTTTAACTTTTCCAGGCAGCATGCACAGATGTTAACAACCATGCTGATACAAGAAAGAAAGATGCAGAAAGCCAGAGATGCTTATGGCTAAAAACTGCAAGTTGATTATATTTGCATGTTGTGATGTTGGTAACCTAGACATTTAAGCATTGGCAGAAAACTAAGGCACAGTCTTAATTTGCCACCCTCAAGACTGTCTTTTTCTGTTACGAGTCTAAAAATAATTGTTAGCCATTTAAGCAGCTATTGGAGTAGCTAAACCAGAAGTTTCCTCAACGGCGGCATTCAAAACTAAATTAATTTGTGAGAGGAAAGGTCAATTCAAGTGATACCTGCATATGTTTGTCACTGTCTTGTCCAATCATGTTTCTCCATTCCACGAGCGACTGCTGCAGACGTTCAAGTCCAGTCTCCCAAAGCCTGACACGCCCTCCCATATCAACAGTCACAACGCCATTTTTGTCCCACTCAGCCAGCAGAGCATCTGTGTCCGAAATAGCAGATATCCATGCGGTGTATGGCGAGAGAGATTCTGCACTAAAAAAGGAGCCCAAAGTAGAGATCAGAAACCATGCAAAGCAGGCAGGTGACACCTTAACACGTGTAATGCTGCTTCCCACCAGAAGTCTGTCCTTTCAGCCTTGGTGAGCTGCACCTGCTCTTCTCCAATGCATGGTTGTTTACTGTCTGCTCTAACCCGTCTCACAGCACAAGAACATCCCAAGGACATATGCAATGAAGGTAGAAGAACAGATGCAGTTTACAAGTCGAGGAGATAGCTCAGTGGTTAAAGCGCTTGCTGTGCAAGCATGGGTACGGGAGGGGCTTCAGTGGGCTGGAGTGGCAGCCTGCGTAATTCCGGCTGCAGAGGACATGTCAGTACTGCGGGGAGGCAGAACTTACTAGTAGAGCACTGCATATTCAACCCTCAGCACCCCAAAATAAAAACCTAATCAAACTCAAATATATGAGACCAAAACTTGAGGAAAAAAAATGTATTCATTTTGGCTCTGCAGTTACGTAACTCTGCTATGTTTTGTATTATTTGATGTTAGCTGTGGTGGTTTGGATGAGAATGGCCCTGTAGGCTCATATGTTTGAATGCTTGGTCCCGGTTAGAGGAACTGTTTGGGAAGGACTAGGAGGTGTGGCCTTGTGGGAGGACATGCAGCCCTGGGAGTGGGCTTTGAGGTTTCAAAAGCCCCTGCCAAGTCCAGTCGCATTCTCTCTTTGCCTCCCCGCCTGAAGATCAGGACGTAGGCTCCCAGCTAAAGCTTCAGTACCATGCCTGCCTATCACCATGCTCTCTGCCATGAGGATCATGAACTGGCCCTGTAAAACTGGAAGCAAACCCCCAATCAAAAGCTTCCTTTCAAAAGTTGTCTTGGTTGTGCTGTTTTATCAAAGCAAAAACACAGTAACCAAGAAAGGCATGTAGAACATTCACCATACACATACACACACACACACACCATCACCTTAAATTTAGATGGCTCATTCTTCTCTAATGTGTGCCAAATACAGCAATGGCTAATTTCAACAGAAAGTCAGAATGTAAGAACAATGATCTCAATTATGTGACATGTGAAATGTTTTGCAAGTGTAAAATATGTACTAGGATTTGAAAGACTTAGAAGAAAGGTTTTTTTTCCCCTTTTTTTCTTTTTGAGATACGGTCTCACTACGTACCCCTCGCTGGCTTGAAACTTACAGATACCCACTTGCCTCTCTGTTCTGAGTGCTGGTATTAAAGGCACACACCATCATGTCTAACCTACATTAAAATTTTTATACTAACAGTATCTCAAAAATATTGTCTTAGAGATACTGGTTTAAACAAAATATATCATTAAAGTTCCGTTTACCTCGTTCTTTTTATTTCCTGGTAATGGGGACCAAACCCTGGGCCCTGCACATCGCAGGGCGTGCACTCAGCCTCTGAGTACACCCGCTCCCTTGCTTATGTTCTTTGTGTGGCTCTGACTATATCAGATCAGCTGGACTGCACTGGTCAGACAGCTTCAGTTGGGAGGAATGCCTTGTGTGCCCAGCTAGCACTTGCTGAGCACTCTGATGCCCTTCCAGGACCTCCTTCCTTGGCCAGTAGAATGAAAAGCTCATACAGAATGTAATGAACACAGATACATGCAGCTCAGGGGGAACAGTGGGAAAATGACCATTGCTTTCGAAATGCTAACAGTAGTTAACGTTGATTTTGACAACGTGACACAAACCTAGACCCGTTTGGGAAGAGAAACCTTAACTGAGAAAAATGCTTTCACTAGATTACCTGTAGACAAGTCCGTAGGGCATTTTGTTGATTCATGATTGATAAGGGGAGGGGACAGCCCATTGTGGGTGATGACACCCATGGGTAGGTGTTTCTGGGTTCTATAAGAAAGCAGGTTGAACAGAACATGGAGAGTAAGCCAGTAAGCAGCATTCATGGATTCTGTTTCAATTCCTGCTTCCAGGTTCTTGCCCCGACTTCCCTCAGTGCGAGCATTGGCCCAAGACTTGCTTTTGGTCACAGTGTTTGTCACAGCAATATAAACCCTAACTAGACACTACAGGGCATTGTTTGCTTTGATTCTTGAACTAATTGTGTATTTTAGCGGAAGTATGACTAAGGTGGAATAAGAAATTTTCTTAAATGATTAAAAGACAACTCCCACTAAGCCAAAATATCAAGGCATTCTAAGAAGCCAAATGATCAGAGAAAGTAAAATTACCTCTCTGGATAATAATTTCACTTTTCATAGCTGTCAAGTCTGATTACAGGTCACGAGAAAGGAAGCGTTTGCTGAGTGCCGCATTGCCATGCCTCGCTGTTTTCTTTTAGGAATTGGAGGAGGGTAAAGGGACATGGCCCAGTGCTGCACTGGGCAGCCTACAGATCCTGCCACGCCTGCCTGACCCCTGTCTGATGCTAGAGAAGGCTCCAGATTCTTCTCACTGGGACTTCAGGCAAGGCTCTACCCACTGTGTTGTGAAGGGTTCAGTCACATGTGTCAAGGCACATCAAGGGAGGGAATGTGATCTTAATCTAGGTTAAAGTAGAGGAGAAAGACTAGGAGGTAGCTTTGGGCTGGCAGTGAAGAAAGGACGGAAGAGGAACATAGTCACAGTGGACCAAGGCCTCAGCTAGAACACTGGAGACTAGGCAGAGCCTCTGGGGCCTCAGGCGAGTGGGCACACGGGTGTTCTCACAGTGGGGAAGAGAGTATGTGTGCTTAGAGCACGCATCTCCCTGCTTTCCAGGCTTTGCTGGCAAGGCTGGACAACAATGGATGCCGTGGGTGGTAACAAGTTCTACCCTAAGTCTCTGGGAATTGTTCCACCACAGGGCTGACAGGACTGTAAATATACAGTATCATCTTTAGAAACAATGTAATTCTAATGCTAGCTAGAGTCTTGGGCATTTTGAATCAGTTATTTCAGGAAATGACTGAAGTTAATTCAGTATTAAATTAAAATTTTTGCAGTGCTGACAGTGTTGTCCCTGGTACAGAAAGTAAGAATCAGAACACAGTACTCAAAGCAGAGCAGGGGGCCAGAGGTCAAGGGCTCATGCCTATACACTGTGTTTACAAGCATTTGAGTGTTTTTCAAAATGAAAATGTCATTAACACATGCATAAGAATGGTGAAATTCAAACCAACTGTACATGGGAGGGGAGAGAACTTGCTACTTTGAGACACAGAAACCGTGCATTTATTCAGAGTGCACAGGAAGAACTCTCTTGTTTTCATACAGCCAACCACGGTAAGGAGAGCGGTGAGATAGATTACCTGGGGACAGGGAGGTATCGGAGTTTCTTTGCTTGGAGATCCGTGACCTCTATGTAGCCAGCTGTCTGTGGTGGGGTAACCCCTGTAAAGAAATCACGACACAAGCCAAGTGTTAAAGGGGTGCAGATGCCAAAGTGGCCCCAAGGGTGGAACTCTGGCAACTGCTTGGCAAAGAACTGGTCATGACTAGACAGTGAAGGGCTCAGGGTAGCAGCAGAAAAAAAAGCCATGAGGTCTCTGCAATTCTGAGGTTAGCCTTCCAGCAAATTCCAGAGCTTGATAACTACAGCCCCACTGAACAAAGCCTTGGCCATCAAAACATCCCAAAAGCACAGTGAAGCAAAACTCACCTGTATTAGACAACGTGCTTTTTAAAGATTTTTGTCTGCCTGTCTAACTACATGTTTAGCTTCTATCTTCCTATCATTCATCATTTTTATTACAGTTTGGACTAGAACCAAATGTCCAGCATGTCCACACTGTGTCCATTGAGTATAGTTCACAAAACAACAACAAAAAAACAAACAAAAACAAGAAACAGCAGTTGTTTATGTCTGCAGTTGAAGAAAAAAAAAACCAAACAAACAAACCAAAAGAAACAGGCTATCTAAAAACCTCAAGTTGAAGGATTTTTCTACAATGAGCTGTCTAAAACCCTCAGCGCACCTCTTCCTACTCAGCAAGGGTAAACCAGCACTCACTTTGCAGCAGACACGCTGACCTGCACGGCAGGGAGCTCACAGTGGGAAGAGCAAAGTTCTTCCCTTTGTCTTTTCTTTTTCTATTTGAGCCACTGTGGACCTCTGGGAACTGAGAAAAGATTCCAGAGGTGGGGAGTGGGGGACAGTGCCAGGGCTGGGGCAAAAGCCTCAAGAGGAAGGAAGAGGCGGGGCAGGGACAGGAGGGCCAAGGAAAGGGGGTAACATGTACTCTGCCCACCCAGCGAGCAGCTGTCCCCGAGTGGCCACTTGCACAAGTCGCACATGCTTACCGTAAGTCAGGCTGTCTGTCATGTACTTCCACGGAATAAAGCCTATCTTTGATAAAGTTGTGCACTATATAGAAAATTTTTGACAATGTCTGCTGTTAGCTGAAATGAGCTGAATTTACACTTGGTCTACAAATACATATTTATCGACCAAGTTTTGTTTTGTTTTGGTTTTCTAAAAAAGTTATTGAAGTTATTGAAGCTAGAGCTGCTTATCTAACTAATCTAAACACTTTGGTCTGTCACTAAACGCACACAGCACTGATGGCAGAACACTGTAAGAACAACATGTCTACTCGTTTTAAAATATTTTTCTACATCACTCTTTCTTTTAGTCCACTTTGCAATTAATCCCACAGGCAGATAAAAATATAGGATAAAAATATAGCAGTGGCTATGTCTGCTCTTCAGTAAGGAGAAAGCAAGAATTGATACTGATATTAGGACATTTCGTGCAGCAGCAAAAGGACTCCATGGTTACACAGGTACCTGGCAGTGTTGTGGCAATCGTGCTAATAAGCACTTAAAAAGAATCAAGAGTAAAATTTACTGACCTAAAAATAAACCAGAAGACAAAAACATTTACAGAAAGAGCCTTATGGTTATCCCTGAGTGGAATTCATGGATGGATTAAGGAAGTGTATCTGTGGCCAGGTTTCTCTCCAAACTTAGCCTTATCCATCCATTTTAAACACATCCATACTTAAGAGGATGGAGGCTCAGTATATTTTCACTGTGGTTAGAGCCCAGGTGGATTTCAAAGATAGGTACAAACTGTGTTTAGGGATTAGTCCACTAACCATTAAAGGGAAGTCATTGCTACAGTGTTTATCCCTGAGTTCCCACGAAGAGTGGAGAGTTTATATGCACAGGGCCAAGGTTAGGGACAGGAAAAAAAAAAAAAAAAAACAAAACTGTCCTGTAAAACAACCAAGAGAGTCTGCAAAGGAAAAAGAAGTTACTTCACAAAATTCACTCCTTTTGGAAATGTAATTAGAGGTACACCTGCTGGCCAGTAGCATTAAGGCTCTTCCATCTGTATTCACAGATTAAAGGTGATATGTGCTATAGTGAAAAGTTTGACTGAATGATGTTTTCCAGTAACCTTCTTTATGTATGTATGTGTGTGTGCATGTTCATGTGTGTGGGCGCACAGGTGTGTGTGCATGCGTGTGCAGGTGCATGTGGAGGTCATCGGCAAGAACTCGTCCACCTTGTCTTTTGAGAAATGATCTCTTACTGGCTAGGGTTTATTGATCTGGTAGGCTGACTGGCAACCGAGCCCCAGGGATCTGCCTTTATCTACCTCCCTTGTATGGGATTATGAGTATGTCCCACCATGTTTGGCTTCTCTGTGTAGGCTGTGAAGTCTGAACTAGGCCACATGTGTACACACGGGCTTTATTGGCTGAGCCATCCCCTTCCAGGCTTCCAGGAGCCTCCTTTATGCTGACAGAACAGCAACTTCAGTAATTTCCTCCTTCAGTACGCCAACACTCTTGTCTATGCACAAAAGGCAGAAACAGTGTCTACGCAACACCACGCTGTATGACGGCAAACAAGTGCAAACACTGAACGTGAACTTGCAAAGAAATGATGACTAAATTGTGGCACACGAAGCAGCGAAAATAAAAGGGAAATTCAGGCTGGCAATGAGTTTCTTCCTTTGACTGAGAGGACCTACTGAGTTCTTTCTTTTGAGTCTTGTCTAAATGGGTCCCAAATGGGCCCTGACTCGAGCTTCTGTGTTTTCTCTTATGTCATTTTGCATAAAAACCAAAAATTAAGTCAAAAGGGACAATAAATCTAAATATACAACCCAAAGCTACAAAAATCCCAGAGGAAATAGGTCATCTGCCT